ACTCTGTGCAATGGAAGAACCACTGCCTAAGAGGTTTAACTGAGCCAGAATTGGTCATGGTTGAAAATTTAACCCAATAACACAATTTGAAATATAGTTGGCTTCGGCAATTTTTTATGGTCTCTTTGAGTTTTATATGAATACATTTTTGTTATTTATTTTTGTGTGCGGTGTGTAGCTCAGTGAGTTAGACCTTATCACCAGTAGTTTAAATCCCCTCCACACCAGAATGACCACATCACCGTTGGGCCTTTGACCAAGGCCCGTAACCCCCTGAGAAATGCCCCAGGGGCGCCAGAGCAATGGCTGACGCTGTGCTCAGACCTCAAGCTTCACTTTCAAACGTACAGTACTAGGCAAAAGTCTTAAGCAGTCAAAGAAAATGATGTTTAAATGATCATTATATTAGTGTAAAGCTATGATGTTACGTCAATGTGTCAGCTTAGCCATTTCAACATCTCTTCTAAAATCACTTGAGTCACCACTGAACCACTACCCCAACTCATATGGCTAATCAATACCTCATTGACATTTTAAATTAGTTTAATTCATGAATTAAGTGAGCTGCTTGTAAATGGTAACAAATAAATGGCTTGGCTGAGGTGCCCCTGAGGAGGGTTGGGAACTGAAGCAGTGTTCATCTAGGTAACCAACAAGATATCGATAACTATTTATCGAACATAAGAAATTCTTTTTATAGTTTTAATTGTGTTACTTTAATTTCCCTATGTTCTAATATTAATTTGTTTTTTTGTTCCGAGTACATAAGCACTTACTACCTAGATAAATAGCTTTAAACGTTTACTTTGACTGGTAAAGGCTTTTGCCCGATACTATATGTGCATTCCTGAAAAAGGAAGAGCAAGATGGAATGTGCGAGAACTACATTCTGTTGAACGCGTCCGGGGAAGCAGGGAGACGAATAATCGGGAAACGGGGTTTATTGAGGGAAAACAGCGAGAAACACGAGGCAACACAGATAACAACGTACTAACGTCAATAACAGGACTCTGGAAACATACTTGAACGCGGACTGAAATACACAGGACTTAATGGAAATAACAGGAGACAGCTGGTACCAATCGAGATTTCACACGGGGTAAATGAGGGGGCGTGGCACACAGGAGGATCGGACGAGCAGGGCGTGTCACATTCCTTGTTCCTTGTACAAATGGCAAATAAAGCTTCATCTAATTCTTTTAATTTTATTTCGCATGTACACTGACCTGCAGGAGCTATTTAAATTTGACGCTCTTACAGTCGTACCAAAAACCTTTTATTAGATCCATTCATCTACACATTCACACACTACAGGAAATTTAGCAATGCCAACTAGCCTACGTGAGCAAACCCACATGACAAAAGAAGAACATATGAGATTAGAAACCCCGACCATGCAGACCTTTTAGGAGGTGTCAGATGGGTGGATGTACAGCACTGTGCAACAGCCTTAGGCAGGCAAAGAAAATGTTTAAAGCTGTTTATCTGAATGATAAGTGTACATTTGCTCAGTAAAAAAAACATATATGCAACAGAACATATGCAAATTAACAGTAACGCAATAAAAACTAACATAAATTTCTTCTGATCTCCAGAAAGTTACTACTATCTTGCCAGGTGGCTAGAAGCAGGCACGTGCAGAGGGGAGGCGGAGGGTGCTTGAGCACCCGCCCCTTTCCTCCAGGATGCCTCAAGTGCCCTTTTCTTGGGTTTTTTTTGTTGTTGTTGTTGTTTTTTTTTTTTTTTTAATGTGTATGTGCGTATGGAGCCCTGTATTTGCCCCTCAACAATAAAATGTAACTATTAATCTCAATTTTGCTAAATAAAAGGATCTGGCTTGCATCAG